TATATATATATATATATATATATATATATATATATTATATCATAGGAAAATAAACTTTTTTTGTAATGATAAATTTATCCCTAATACATCAAAGAACAGAATAATATTTTGTATATAAAATATAGACATTAGTGGCGAAATTAGATTTTCTTCAAGTACGAAATACGTTTAACTATAGAGACAATTGATTTTGTCACCGATTAAAGTAAAATGACTCGCGGTATAATTTTGTCGGTAGTAATAACCTTTTTAGTGACAAAACATACTATTAACTACAAAAAATATACATACTTTTTACGACGTGTCACAACTGTTTGAGGATTTGGGGACGATTTTTCTTTTATAGTTAATATAGTGTTTTTAGCGACGAAACACTAAATCGTCTTTGTATACTTTTAGACGAATTATTTTTCGTCTCACAAGATTTTTAGTGATGAAATATGATTTATAAATGACGAAATTATTTGTTCCTGATAAACGAACTTATTGTAGTGTATAGACATGAATTTCTGAACTCAAGGACCTTCGTGCGTAACATGTAGTATCCCCATGATTAGGAATATAATCCATAAAAAGTTCATGCCAAATTTATGGGCATGAACAACTCAAGTTAAGGGTCTAAATAATAATATGGAATTCATGTATGTGATTTTTCAGATTTTCATACTTACATCATCCAAACTTAGCCCTAATCAATAATTGATCTCAAAGGATTCACAATTGAACTCAAAAACTTTCTTGAACTCTACTCTTAGCTCTTTCTTGAATTTAAATAATGAATTAAAGAATATGGTTCATGATATGAAGGATCTCGATGATAATGTAGACTCGTGAATATATTTTCATCATTCTCATACTCACTTACTCGAGTCTTGAAACAAGTTATTAGAAATTAAAGATGTATTCTCAAAATACTCAAAGGGACTTTCTAAAATATTAAAGATTCAAAAGAACTCTCAAGATTTAACTCTTAGCTCTACCTTGAATTTGAATTATGAATTCAAGGTTATTATTTGTGGTAGAAAAGATATTCTTATGATTAAATGAGTTTTAAATAGTTAATCATGATGAACGGTCAAGAAAACACTGTATGGGAGTAAGTTCTCGACACATATATGCATTTCAATATTTGATCACCAAATAATAAATTTAAGATTGAAATAATGGGTCTGTCAAGGGCTTTCCATATCTAGTATTATATAGAAGAGTGAAGTTGAGGACGACTAAGGACAAAATCATAATATGCTATTATATGCAGGGGTAGAATTGTAATTAGGCATAATTGATATATAAACAAACGATGTTCTTTTTCCTCTCCCTTCCATATCGTTCTTGATCTCTCTCCTATACTCCCTGATTATGATTAATCATTGTTATTTTCTTAGGGGTAAGAGCCAAAGTGTTATCATCTTCTCCTATAGAGCTAAAATAACTATACAGTTCGAGATTTGATGAAGATGGCCTAAAACTTCCTCTGTCCCCAATTTTATAAAAAAGAAAAAGAAGAGAAGAATAGCCTTCCATTCTCCTTAAAAGCAATACCAAGTCACTTTTTTTTTCTTGTTATATTTGGTATTTTTCTTCTTTGTTCTTCTTATGATATTTATTTGTTATGTATTCAAATTTTAATTTATGTAGTAACTTTTGATTAAATAATTTTTTTAATGAACATGATGGCCACTTAGAACTATATTCTTGCGAAACTTTGAGGATAGGAAGTTTTATTCCACTTTTGGATTTGAGTTTCTCATATGAACTTCAATAGAAGCTATATCATTTATCACTAGGTTTTAGAGGGTGACTCCAGCCCCACCTCTATTTAGATATGATATCTAATATATTGCAATTTCATCATAGAAAATCATATGTGTAGGACCAACAAGGCCAGTGGCTATGACTGAAAGATGCTTTGAAGTTCATAGTAGCGGAGCTAGAATTTTTAGTAAGGGTTCAAAATCTTGAGATGTAAACACTCGAATTAATTAAAGGTGATTCAATATTTACTATACATACATATACATTCATTATTGTCATGTATAAATACTAATATTTTTTACCGAAGGTGGTCCGAAGCACTAGGCTGGCTCTGCCCCTGTTCATAGAGGTGTATTTAGTATTTACAGTTTAAGGTATTTAGGCTTTACACAATTATTTAAATATGTGTCATAGATGAAATCCTATTTGAGAAATATGTCAGTAGGCTATTTCATATTATTCTATTATCCAATGTTTTGACTCTTAGGAAGCAATAAGAATAAAATTAAAGTATGCACTAAAATATTGAATAAAAAAAACATAGTTCAAAGATGTGGCATAGATTTTTTCGTAAAAAACAATTATCCGCCTCAATTATAGATGGACAGGGTATGTTGTATGGAATAAGCATGTCATCTACTGTACCTTATGTTTTCATTGTTTGTTCTTCACTAAATTAGTTGATATATAAAAAGAGTACCTATGAAGAAACAATGATCAGTTTATATTTTTTAAAAAAAAAGTGGTTGGTGAATGCCAAGAAATTTCCATGTTCTAGGGTTCGATTCAACAGTAAATGTTGGGCTATGTGAAACGCGAATATGTGATAGGTGTACGTCACACGTTTGATGTTTGGGTGGTAGATCAAATTTTGTATTTAAGTGCAGAACAACATTGTGATAAATTCATCATCTCAAAAGTTTCTTGGTCATAAAAAATATTTGACAACAGAGTCCACAAGATTATGCTGTTAGGACAATGTTTCAATTTCAGCTTCCAATGTCGTTTTTAGAGGTTCTAACATTAGAGTCTTGAAATAACTACTGAAAGACTGCATCTCAATTTAGTTGCTACTACTTTACTTTCTAAGATAAACTTGTTTAGCTATGAATATTTGAGGGTTTTTGTATCAGATACACTTCATAAAAGTTTGATAGTGTTTTTCTAATAACGTTATGTTGTCAATCTGTGTTAAG